GGGGGGGTGTCACTGATGCCGGGCAGGGTACATGTATTAGCCTAGTCGTTCTTCTGTTTTTTTCTTCTTTTTTGATTTCCTGCGTGATGAATGAGAGATTCAAGGGCTATTAGGGGATTATATACACATTCCAGCGAAAGGTCACTCACGCACTACTGTTTGTTTGTTTTTTTACTCACTCACTACCTTGCACGAACCGAATGGAGGGGAAAACAAAACAAACAAACAAACAAGAAGCCAAGTGGGATGTCATGTCCCATCAGAGTACCTTGTTCCAACAAGTCTGGTCCCATATCGAATGTGTCGTGTCCCAGTTGCCTTCCGTGTTCTCCGGGATAGAGAGAGAGGTTCATAGAACACGCATGCGGCCTTTATTGCTGTATTTGGGGCAAATTTCAGTCTCGATACATGCGGGTAATGACCATGTGCTCCATGCAAAGGAAGATGGTACGCCCACTGCGATCATCCGCAATGTCCTACCTTTTTTTTTTTTTTTTTTTTCATCTGCTTCTTAGTTTTTTTTTTTTGCAATGTCCGACCTTGGCATAGGTAGTCCTGTGGGCCGATGACTTCGCACGCTGCCTCAGTTGCCACTTGCGGGCCGCGGAGGAAAATGCTTGTGCGAGGAAACCTCCGGGACGTGCACCAGCACAGCCGGGGCTGTTTCGCCGAACCGACGCACCCCCTGCGTGTTGAAATTTGCCGAAGTGCCAGCATGATGTTTTTCTTTTTTTTGTTTTGTCTGGCGGCGACAGCCATTTCAGCCCGGTTCCGCGAGGCCCAAAAAGTCGCGAACGTCTCGCTGGTGGGGACGGGTTCATTTTCTGCAGGGCCGGGGCCGTGTACTGGTGGTCTAAAATTGGAGCGATACAAGGGGGGGCCCTAGTTGCACTGCTCGCCATCCGCCAACATTTTCAATGCGTCTGGACTCAAATTTGTCCAGATGCATTCAAAATGTTGGCGAATGGTGAGTAGTGCTGCCACTAGGGCCAAAAAAAGAAGCTTAGTAGCATGGCGCCTGCACAAGGATGACACACATTAAAAAACAAAAAAAAAAACAGGAAAAAAAAAAGGAAACGCCAACAACAACAACAACACGCTTGTCGCAAGCCTACCGACAGTGATCCGTGGCCTCCTGCAGAGGCCACGGCAAGTCTTCTTCTTTTTTTTTTTTTTTTTTTTTAATTGACTGGTCCCAGTTAATTCAGAATTAGTTGGCCGGTGTGTCGCCCACCTGCAGGTCGGGAACAGCCCGTGTTTCTTCTCTCATGAACACGGTTCTGGCTGCCACGGGGTTCGCCATATGACTATAGTTAGGAGAAGTGGTAGGTAGGTAGGTAGTGTGAGGTGAAATTGAGAGAAGAATGTAGGTAGGTAGGTAGTGTGAGGTGTAATTGAGAGAAGAATGTAGATTACTTTTAAAAAAGAAAAAGAAAAAAAAAAAGAAAAAAAAAGAAAAAAAAACAAATAGTTGATTAACTTGGTTCAATTGATTTCACTCATCTGGTTCCATGGGGGTTCGAAGTTCGAACCCAGGTCTGTCTTTCGACAGTTCATGATGGCCGTGTGTGTGGCTGTCATTTCAACCACTAAAAGGAGGCAAAGGACCGAAAGACAAAGTGCTTATAATGATATTGCGTAGCAGGCGCTCGTAAGAGAGATCGCTTCCAAAAAAAAAAAAAAAAAAAAGAGAGAGAGAGAGAG